GGCCTTGGGTGGGTGGTTTCAGAGAAGCCCAGGGCTGTGCTGGCACAGGGGAGACCTGAGCCCAGTGGCCAGGCTGGGTCCTGCCCTGAAGGTGCTTCCTTCCCCAGTCCCAGGCCAGGCTTTGGAGCGAGCGGGCATCATTGGGGGTCATGAGGCCCCTTGGAGCAGGTGGCCCTGGCAGGTGAGCCTGAGAGTCAAGCATCAGTACTGGCAACACATCTGCGGGGGCTCCCTGATCCACCCCCAGTGGGTGCTGACCGCGGCACACTGCATCGGACCGTGAGTCTCCCCAGGGTCTGGCATGTAGGGGTGGGCCTGGGGCTCCAGCCACGCTCCTGGGTTTCCCAGAGGCTGCTCAGCCCCTGAATATGTGCCTTTTTCCCTAGGATGAAAGTACCCCATGCAAGGTTCAGGGTGCAGCTGCGGGAGCAGCACCTCTACTACCAGGACAGGCTGCTGCCAGTCAGCCGGATCATCCCCCACCCCAACTACTACATAGTTGAGAACGGGGCGGACATCGCCCTGCTGGAGCTCGAGGACCCTGTGAACATCTCCAGCCATGTCCATCCGGTCCCCCTGCCCCCTGCCTCAGAGACCTTCCGTCCAGGGTCACAGTGCTGGGTGACAGGCTGGGGCAATGTGGCCAGTGGACGTGAGCATTGGGGACAGCTTTTAATAGAGCTGGTCACATAGCAGCTCACCCTCTCGGGTTTCCTCTGGGAAACAGGGTCCAGATGGGCTGACTCATAAGGTGGGGTTGGAAGACTCTGAGATGAAGGAGAGGTGGTGGGAGGCAGTATGTGCGAAGAGCCCACCAGATCCGGTCCCTGCTCTAGATGCCTGGGGAAGTCAGTCAGCACCTCTGTGCCTCAGTTTCTCCTTGCATGAAATGGGCACAGTCACAGTTGGTATTTCATGGATATGATCTGAGGAAAGAGAAAAACCACACACAGGAAGTGTCTTACTATTACCAATAACCGCTAAACGGGGCGGCGTGCATCTTGTCCCTGTGCCCGTGGACAAGGAGACAGGGATGTGAGGATGGGGTTGGGTGCAGCTTGTTCTCACCCCTCCAGCACCGCCTCCACTTCTCTCGAACAGTCTTGTGTCCCTTTATTCACAATTCAGGGCCAAGCCTAGGGGACATTTAGCATGAACAGTAGCCCTGAAATGTGTCCTCAGGGTCCTGCAAAAGTAACCCGAACGGGTCACTGCTCGAGGTCTGCTGACGACGCAGCATCCTGACACAATGCCCCTACAAAAAGTGGGAAACTGAGTCTGGGGCCAGAGGCTGGCCAGGAGGCAGGCCTTGGGGGGAACCCAAGACGCAGGCCCCCACTCAGATTGGAGGCTGTGGAGCCGAGGGGAGATTGGGCTGTGGTGCTGCCAACCCCAGGAACCCTGCGTCTTTCCCTTCCCTGAATGGGCCTTAAGAGGCCAAGGATCAGGTCCAGCCATGAAAGGGAAAGAGCTCATCCCTGGGTGTCCTGGGAGACGCCAGGCCCTGGAACAGAAGAGGCCTCAGCCAGGCTCCTCAGTCCTGCCTGGACCCCCCGCCCTCCACCCCTCGGTGTCAGTGACAGGCTTGGCTGAGTCAGCCCCACCCCCAGGCTTCCTCATTCTCCCTCTCTTCTCACCCCAGAGCCCCTGCCATCGCCGTTTCCCCTGAAGCAAGTGCAGGTGCCCATCATGGAAAACAGCGTCTGTGATGAGCAGTACCACGCTGGCCTCTCTACCGCGGATGACGTCCCAATTGTCCTTGATGACATGCTCTGTGCCGGGAGAGAAGGACACGACTCTT